TACACAGGTATTCTGAAATAGGATCCTTTTCCCATTGTCCCACATTCATACAACTGGATCTTAATTAGTGAGAGTAAAATCAAAATTCCTTATGCAAACCCTCTCTGTTGTCTAGCACCCACTTCATCAATCTATTTTCCATGCTATTCTATTCCCACTTCCTTTCTCCCCATAGGATAGATCCACCCAGCCTGTCTTCACACTCACAAAGAGTCTCACCAAAATACCAGTGACAATCACCCTCTTCTTCCCAGCAGCCACCTAGGAGAGGAGGATGGGTGAAGCAGTGCCACCAGGAGGATTCTAGGATGCAAACCTATCGTGTGGGAATGTCAGGGGCAGGACTGGGGAAGGGAATGGGCATTGGCTAGATAGGGGCTTTCGTGTCATCACGAGAAGGAACAGAGGTCTCTGGTTGACTCTTAGTGGAAGACACAGACCTTCTTTAGTTCCTCAATCCTGTGCAGAGCACTATCTTCTGTCCCCTCCCTAGATGCCACCACAGACCTAAGAGGACAGACTCAAGGTCAGTGGCACTGGTTTGGAAGTAGAAGCCTATGGTATATTAGGGCAGGCTGCTTTGAGAGAAGGGAATGAAGGGAAAGCTACCATTGACTGAACACCTACTATTTGCTTGGCACCATAACAGATACTCTATAGGGCTGAAAAACTCAAATACCTACAAAGGCAAGTCATATAATTTAAGTATGTGAAGGCAATAAGTGTAAGGCAATAAGAAACAATGGGGACCAAAGCAAACTGGATACACTCTCCATCTAAAAGCCTTAAAATTAAATTTCTAAAAAACACTATCCAGGCCAAGCAAAATATTCATAGACCAACATAGACCAATTTGGCTTACCTGTCACCTCCTGCAATGAGGTAGGTATAAAGAGGTTTCTGTCCTAAACCTTTCTGACAAAGCAAAGGAGCAATTATCTTGGATTTTCGACACCTAGACAGTAGAGACTGTGTAAGGATTCTCTCAGGCCAGTGCTTAAGCCAGTACTGCCTGGAAGCTGGCACTTAAAACGCTACTTGCAGATGATTGATTGGGGGTGGGGGGAATGGGCTGTAGAGACAGAAGATATGGGGCTCCATATGGAGTGAGATCCAGTTTGGAAGAGAGGGAGCCAGGGATAGAGGGGTCCACCTAGGAGCTTAGCTATGATTAGCTTTGTGGTCCTGAGGGTCACCCCAAGAAGGCAGAGGGAGGAAAATCAGGGATAGGGGCACTCACCGACATGAAGAATGCCATCCTGCCAGAGATGCCCCCTCCACTCAACACCAC